GTACAGAAATTGCTGGAACGCGTACCGATTTTGAGTGAACGATGCTTTAATCTAGGCAAAAGGCTACCAACGAACCAACTGCATAATCTGCATATATGCTAATCTGGGCAAAAACCTACCTATGCACCAAATTTTAAGCAAATCGGACGATAAATACGATTTTTTCGAATAGATCGGTCCCTGGTCCACTTCCCGGAAAAAAAGCATCCTATGTGCTAATCTAGACAAAAAGCTACCTAGGTACCAAATTTTAAGCAAATCGGACCATAAATACGATTTTTCGAATAGATCGGTCCCTGGTCCACCGGAGGGTTTTCCCAAAATTTTCTTTCTTAAAAACCTTCTCCTGGCAATTACGAACAACTGAAAAAAAAATTTGCCAAATCGGCCCAACCGTTCTCAATTGATGAATTACTATACATTTTTCACACCATTTTTATATATATAGATTTTCCCACAGTCCAAAAGAGGATACATGAATTGAAGGAATTTCACAAAATCTTGGGCATATCTCAAACACGCTGGCTTTCGCTAGAAATCGTTGTGTAAAGAATAATTGAGCAATGGGATAGTTTGAAACTTTATTTTATTTCCTGCCTTTACGAAGTAAACAATATGCGATCTGCAGACCTGGCCGAAGGAATGTGTTGCAAAACTAAATACTATTTTTTATTTCTATCGTATGTTTTGCTCATAATTAACAATCTTAACAAAGAGTTCCAAGATGAGAGATCTCTTTTGTCATAGTCATACGCAACTATCAAAGCACTTTATCTCTTAGTTTTAAGTATCTTTATTAAAAAAGATGCGATCAGTAACAATATTAATATTGATTTATAAAATGAAAATAATCATATTAAAATATCTGGCATTTTTGTTGAAACGAAAGCTGTGTTTCCGAAAAGTAATGTTAATTGTTCTGAAATTCTTGAAGTTTTTCATAGAGTTTTTGGACCAAATAAATTTAAAATTTGATTTCAAGCGTGAAGATATAAAACTTTTACAAATAATAACACCAGCTAACATAGTTTCTGAAATCATCTTTACCAATTTTACCTCTTTTGTTAAAGTTTCCCCATCTTATAGATTGCGTTCCTTATATTATAACCACGCAGTGGAATTTACTAAGGCTAAGTGAGCTTGATATTTCCAGCGAACTGAATATTGATTTGTTTTGGGAAAAAGTTTATTATATTAAGCTCTTTTATTAGCTCCACGCAGCTCGCCAATTTTGGTTTTAATATAACTTTATTACCACATAGCTCTGCGGCTGCAGAACGCAAATTTTCAACGCTTTCTTTGATAAAAACTAAACTAAGAAATAACTTAAGATTGACAGTATCAATAGCATAATGTTATGCAAGGAACTTGTAAACGAAAATGACCCGCACTACTTTTACGAAATTAAACTTATTGGTACATAACATGTAGTACATACACATGTATGTATATAATTCATACAATCTACAAATGTTAAATGATCTCATCTCTTTGACTAAGACTGTATCTGCATTTATTTATTTCTTGTTTGTCTTAAAATGTACAAAGTACATACATATGTATATGTATGTACATATGTAAAAGTTTTTTATTCGAAACATTTAATCTTAAGTATGCTTTCAGAATGATTTTTTGTAATTAAAATTTATTTGAAAGTTTGTAAACGATTTTTGTCGGATTTGTAAAGAAAATTAGTGGGGAAAAAAATTATTAGTGGCAAAAATTGTTAGTGTTAGCAAACGCTAACAGGCCTGCCAACTTATCTCAAACTGTTCCATTTTTGGCCCCATTTTACTTCAAATGTCCATGAATTTTTCACTTTTGAAAAACAGTAATATTTCAATAAATTTCTGTAAAATCCTTTGCGTGTACTTCTATTTCTCAGCTAAAAATGTCTAAATTCTAAAGTTCAAAAAACTGGTTTATCTTATGTTGACAATGACCATTTGTTTTATAAATGCGGTTCTTATTTTATTGCTAAATGTGAAGAAAATAAATAATCATCTTCCGATAAAAAAAAAAATTCTAATTCTTTGGCCTTTTATTATTCTATTTGGCAGAGTTTGGGTAATAAAGTGGCTCAAAATTTTTTGTTTTGAAATCCACGAACGCATCCTCAAATTATTATTATTTGTGATAAAAGCTAGTAATTTTTAGCAAAAAAAGCCGACTTAAAAAAATATATATATATATATACATTTCATGATCCAATGATCGGATCTAAACCAGATTGGGACTACCTCTGAGACACTACCTTCCCGATGCAAAAAGTATTATCGAAATCGGTTGACGTGGTCCAAAGTTATACGGTAACATGCATAAAAAAATATATATATTCGTACGAACTGATAACCTCCTCCTTTTTTGGAAGTCGGTTAAGAAAGAAAAACTAATTTTTTAATTTGAATAAAAAGTTATTTTAGAGGTCGCGCTAGTCGGGTTTTCATAAAAGCGCTGATGTTCTACTAATTTTTATATTTGTGAGATGTTAAAGTCCAGCTTAAAATGTTGTTGTTACACGTAATTACTCTGGTATTATTGGAGAATATTCCCTCAATTACATACCTGTCTTGGACAGTTAGAATGAGCCTAGTGCCCAAAAATGTGCTTTTGAAAAGAGACTACGGAAATTAAAATGTTGATACTGAACGATTTACGCACTGTCATGGGTTGAAACTTATTACCAGGGGATTTCTGGGGTTGCCAATTACTAATCTGAAACCAGCTTTTTCAAAATTCAAAATTGCGGATCCAAAATAACGATAACTTTTTTTTATAATTGGATTTGTTCGAAACTCCGCACTCGGGACTTTTAATCATTAATCGTTAATCTAACTAAAAAGAAAATCAGATTAAGTTGTCTAGTTTGTCCGAATTTGAACCCAAACACCAGTTATAGTAATTATTTTGTTTTTTTACGCTTATAAAAACACATAATATAAAAAAAATATTGTTATTAGTAATACAAAAAAAATGGGAACTTTTATTACACAACGCACATGTGCAGAGGGATATTAAAACCTAGTTTGTAAAACGTCTGTTGGAATAGGTCTTAATAAAAATGCACACCAAATTACTTAGATTAATGAGGAAAATCGACTTAGCCATACCCGATTAACTGGCCCTGGGTGCACAGGAAAATTCCAGCACAAATTAATTATTCACCAAACCTGCTTACTAAAATTAAGGGTTAATGATTAAAAATTAATTTTTTAATCACGGTTGCGATCAACTCTTTAATCATGATTAACTGTAATCTCATTGAATTTATTCGAATTAACTAATTGATTAAAAATTCAATCGATTAGTACTAACACAAATTTTACCTACATTTAATTCAATCGATTAGTACTAACACAAATTGTACCTATATTTACACACAGCTTTAGCAATAAAATGCGAATACAAAGCTTGCCTTGAGCAAACGACCAAAGACAGACAATCCAATTGCCTAATCCGACATTTGGCTCCACTATCTATTCCGTTCAGTGTTGCCACTTGAGTTTATTTTCAGGTACCTAAACGCCTACCAAATCAATTTCAGAACTACCAAATTTTTGTTCATCATTAAAACGAAATTTCTTTAATTTACCGGGTTTTTAGCTACACAAGTTGACAGTATAATATTGTTTAAGGTATTGGTTAGCCATTCATACCAATATTTAAGGTTAAACAAAACACATTCGGGCTTTTAAATAAAGTAATTAACGTATTGCATAAACAGCTTTTGTAAAAAATATAACGTCGTTTAAAGTACAAAACCGCATATCGTCATTCTGCAAACCGCGTAACTGACATTGGCTGCCAAAAATTGGATTCGCTCGCGCAAGCTCTTGGCTCAATCCTTATCCATTCGTCCTGAAATATACTAGCCAGAAATGCGATTGCTTTATAAAAAAGAGAACCATTTTGAAATATGAGTGTTTTTACGCTCTAGAAAATAATTTCTACAACTTCACATACGCGGTTTTGGATTTTGCTGATACGCGGTTTTGCATTTTATTGATACGCGGTTTTGCACTTTAAACGACGATAAATACCTTTGAGATTAATTCATTTCATATCGAAAAATTTTTATGTTTGAAAAAACAAAATCTGACATTTTAGGCATTTCAATAAAAAAAATTCCAAATTTTGTTTCAATTTGCATACACTCACACTTTGCGAATTGCCTATCACCAATTTTTCTTTCAAGATGATAGGCAAATTTTCGTTCAATTTCAACAGCTGATCGCTCATAGGTCTGGGAAGTCAGTTTTTATTTGCAAAAAAATTGTGTGCTTAGTAAAATTTGGGGAAAAAGAAAGAAAACTTATACGTGTGAGCATGGGCGTAAAAAGGTAGGGGCAGGGGGGTGCTCGAGCCCCCTCCCCCCTAACTTTCAAAATTTCCTTATATACATATAAAATAGTAGCCTTAAATGCCAGCTTAATAGGGTCGAGCCCCCCTCCCCCCCTAAATTTCATTCTGGCTACGCCGATGCGTGTGAGCAAAGTGAAATCAACGTTTTCAATGTGTAAACGCAAAGTACATAAGTGAACAAATTTTAATGCTCAGTTTGATTGACTTTTCAAAACATTTTTGCCTATCAGAAGCTTTTTAACAAACCAACCAAACTACCAAAGGAGAATTAAAATACAAATTTTGGTCCAATTGGGCTAAAACGGCAACACTGATTCCGTTTGTTTTGTTCATTGCTGACGTTTTTTGCAGTGAGATTCCGACAAACAAACATACATACAATAAGGACACACAAACATACTCTAGCATTTTTAGTACATTTCTCTTGTTTTAGATACGCTGCGACTAGTTTACGCCATCCATTGCGCTACGTCGCTTGTGTTAAATAAACATTTTATCTGCAGTAAGTGAAGTCGGCGGCAGCGGTATTCGCTGTTATTTCTTTCTCCTCACTGTTGACGCTCTGCTATCGGCGGCATAGCAACGTACGTATCAAATTCACGGCACTGGTTGGACTGCTGCAAGCCAACAGTTGAACGGACATTTCAGTTGCTTTTCGGCTGTCAGTGAGTGCGTTTGCCCTTTGGTTCGGTTGGCTTGATTTGGTTTGGTAAATTGTCGACGTCGCTGGTTAGCTCTTCTTACCTTCGTTCGTTTACTCGCTCGCTCTCGTTGGATTTTTGTGAGCGTCGTCGTTGCCGCAGCAGCAGTGATTGTGTATTTTGTTGTTGTAAGTGGGTTTCACACAGCATTCGTGTGCCCTCGAAATTTTTGAAAGCTACCTAGTGGAAACAGCAGCAGAAGAAATCAACGTTGTCGTTGACGACGTAACCACCATCATCATTGTGTTTATTTGTGGATTGAGCTGCAGCATCGAATACCTCACCGCACAGCAGCAAACAGCGTGTGCATACATAAATTCATACAAATAAATATATTTACATATGCAGCATATAACATAGCCGCCGTAAAGCGTAGCGACAGTATCAAATTAATTCCAATTCACTGTTGTGGGCAATACGAGTTGCCGTACAAAGTGCAGTAATTCGTAAGGCTGCCTTTTCCATTTTTTGTATGGTTTCACAATTTCTGTCGTCGTCGACGCCGCCAAACTGACTTTCGAAGCCTATCAAGTCGCTTGCGTCTCTGTTTCATACATACGTGTACGCCTCGCCACGCGCAGCCATACCACAAGGTGTGGGGAAATCGATCGATTACGTAGCTTCGCGTATGTACAACGTGTGTGTGGTTCAAGTGATTGGAAGCAAAATAGAAAAATTAAAGAAAATTTAAATTTTTGATCTCTTTCTAAAGAAGCAACTTAACGTGAAAACTGCAATAAAACTTAAAATAATTGAAAACTAAATATAATTAAAAACAAAGAACTTGTAGCGTTAGTGAAGAAGTAAAAAAAAAAAACAAAAAAATTGCGCTATAAGTTCCAGTTCAGACACATAGAAACAGTTTTAATACGGCATGGATAAATCTACAGATTCCGCAACAACCACTCCGCCGTCATCGTCGACGTCGTCAGCTTCCGCAAGTGCAGTCGTCGGGGGAGCAACGTCGACGTCGCAGCCGACATCATTAACTAGCGATGGGGTTGGAAATCAATGCGATGGCGTTAGTTCGGCAATGACCAGTTTTTTGATGCCATCATCTTCCGCTAAAGCGTCCTATAGACCACCAGTAAGTAATAGTAGTACAACGAATATAGGGTGTGGTCCATCGCCGTCATCAATGCCATCAACAGCCAGGAAATTATCTACACAGGAGGCAGAGAACACAGTTGGAGCAAGGAATGATGTTACTTCCGCTACAACTGCCACTAATAATGCCTCCATCGCTGCAACCTACTCTGCCATGGACTCTTCTCCGTCGGCATCGGCATCCGTATCTACTACGCCCACCACCCCCTCAAATAGCAATGGCACATCATCAACCTCTGCAATAGCTGCCGCTATGGCAAGGCATGGCGCATTCATACTACCCTCCACGCGCACAATGCCAGTGAGCGGCCCACTTGCCGCCACCACATTGCAACACACATCGTCACCACATGCTTTACAACTACCCCACATTAACTTGAATATAAATACGACGACTGGTGGTAATTTTGGTGTGACAGTAGACCCTCAAATCTCGGTGGAGAATTTAAAGAAGATAATTGCCAAGAAGCTTAAAGTCGCCAAGGATCGCATTTGTTTGCTGCATCGTGAAAAGTGAGTACTTAAATAATAGAAAATAATTTGAATTGATTTAGTAGTATTGATACATAGGTCATTCCATGTAAAAGAAGGTACTTTTGCTAAATGACCACATCTCATTAGTATGTTGAAAGATATTAGAAAAATTATAAGAAGCTGTGATTTTTGTCTAATGGAAACTTTTACTTGCGTCACACTAATCACAAAATTAAAAATATTTCTATTAATAATATATCAGCCTAGTTTTAATGAAATCAAAAGCGTATATGTATGGACATATCGTAAACTTAGTTCACAAAGGCCCTAACCAACACTTTTTTTTCGAAATAACGTTTTTTACAGACTTTTGTAGGATGCATTAAAATACACCCTCCATAAAAATTTTGAAGTGTTATTAGGTACCAAAAACAACGGAGTTATATCACTTTTTAAAAAGCCTTACCTGCTTTTGATACTCTTATGTTTTTTGCTTCTCCTATAAAATACAAAATTTGTAAGGTAACGCTATGAACAGTGACGAACAAAAGTATTGGCACAGTGAATTTTTTGCAATATATGCAAATTTTTTTATTCGAATTTATTTTCTATAATTTTTTATAAAAATATAGTTCATACTACATCAAAAAACATAAAAATCATAAAAATTAAATCTGTCAACTTTGTGCAAAACTTAGGAAAATCCAATAAATTTGCATAGTAATTTGCCAGGTTTTTTTAGAAAAATTCTAGGTGTGCAGTTTTATAGCCCACCAACACAAAAACTCTGCATTAAAAATTAATTATTTTTGCTAAAATTCTTTGAGCACACGAAGGTAAAATAGGGAATTTTCAGTGTCCCATCAGTCGCACTCATTCAAAGGATCTGTACATCGGCGTAGCCAGAATGAAATTTTGGGGGGTCTCGACCCTATTAAGCTGGCATTTCAGGGTACTATTTTATATATATATAAGGAAAATTTGAAAGTTAGGGGGGGGGCTCGAGCACCCCCCTGCCCCTACCTGGCTACGCCCATGGATATGTAGTTGGTACAAAGAACTTAGAAATCGTTTGGGATTTTTTTTTAAGGAACTTTATACATTAGTTATGTGTCTATGCACAGCGGGGAACAGAAATTAGTGCATGGTGATTTTTGTAAAATATGTACATATTTGCAAGGCTTTTAAAGAAAACATTTTTTGTTATGGCGTTTTCGTTTCTACAAAAAATGCTACCTTTTCAGTGCCCGTGTCTTGGAGTTTTTGTGCTTAGAGTAGAGGGCAACGAGAAGGTAACATTGTTCTGTAGAAACAAAACGCCATTAGTTTTTCATGAAAATATGGTTGACACTTTAACCAAAACCATATATGTATGTAAATCAAACTTTCTCACTTTGTACAGTGGTTAGAAAATATTAACAACTCTTCATTAAAAGTTCAACTTTTTAATCTGGTTTTTTATATTTTGTTTACAGAATGCAGTTTCGTGCACATTAAGCGGCTGCGAATTCGGGTTGATTTTTTTTTTTTTTGCTGACGGCTTGCAGTAAAAAGTTGCCAGGTCCATTTTTTTCAAATTTTACAAAATAGATATACCTAAATATTGAATAGCTAAAGAGCAGATATATATTTTCAATCATACATATATCTGTATGTATGTATTGTATGTATAAATTCAATGTCGGTATTTAAGTAACTCCACGTCTTAATCCAACTTTGATGGCGGCTGTTGCCAAACGAATGATATTGATTCTCCACAAAACCTACAAGAAACCAGCACTTTATGTACACAAGTACATACATACATACAGTCTATCAATAAAGTATAGGTACAGCGAGTTTTTAGCAATACGGGCAACTATTTTTTTTTCACGTTTAGTTTTTCGCAAATTTCGAATTAAAAAATATAGTTAATTCTACAAAAAAAAAAACAAAATTCTACAAATTTTCATTAAAATATTGCACTAAATACATAAAGAATGTACACGAAAAAAACTGGTCGCACATAACCAAGCATAGCTCGGTTAATCATAACATTAAAATAAAAATCGGTAGACACTTAAAAAGCTGGAAGCATTTTCCACCTTACTGCATCATTTCTTTTTAGTAACAAAAATCAGTGTAGAAACGAGGACCAAGAAAGAAATCGATCGCGAGTTAATATTGCGCAAAAAGCTGGAAAATCCCAGCATGTTCCATAACGACATCGCAAAAAAGCTAAAATTTCCAAAGTCTACCGTTACTTATGTGCTTAAAAAATACAATGAATCTGAATGTTTATCTTTAAAAAGGAACCCTGGTAGTGGCAGAAAAAAAGGATTTGCTTGCGAAATTAAGGCAAAGGAAGTGTTATCTGCTTTTAAGAAAAATCCTGGACTTTCGGTAAGAGATGTCGGCAAAAAATTAAACATGTCGTCTTCGTATATACAAAAAGTATGCAAAACAGCAGGACTACGTTCTTACAAAGTGAATGCAGCACCTAATCGCAACGGTAAGCAAAATTTGTTGGCGAAACAACGTGCTCGGAAATTGTACGACAGTCTCATACAAAAATTTGGCTGTATTGTTATGGATGACGAATCGTACGTAAAAGCCGATTTTAAACAAATCCGGGGCCGCGAATTTCACACTGCAAATAAAAGAGGCAATGTTGCAGATAAATATAAAAACAAAAAGTTTGACAAATTTCCCAAAAAGTTTCTCATTTGGCAGGCAATTTGCCAATGCGGCTTCAAAAGTTATCCCTTTGTAAGCACTGGTACAATTAACCAAGAACTTTTACCTCTTATACGGCTTCATAAAGATCCAGTGCTTTTTTGGCCTGATCTCGCGATATGTCATTACGGAAAAATGGCTTTAGGATGGTAACATAGAAACAAAGTGTATTTTGTAGCAAAAGAGGTGAATCCACCTAATTGTCCAGAGCATCGGCCGATCGAAACCTACTGGGCCGTTATGAAATCCAAACTTCTTAAGACCCACAAAGCTGTAAAAAACGCACAACAATTCAAAAATAAATGGCAGCTGGTTTCCAAGGAAATCACTGAAACTTCTGTGCAAGAGCTAATGAAGGACATAAAGTCAAAATTGCGATCGTTTGCTTATTACAAAGAGAATTAACTCTTTTTTAACGAGTTTCAATAAAACTAAGTTTAGATGTAAATATATGTAAATATCGTTGAATTCCATTAATATATTTATGTTTTAGAACGTTTTAACTGTGACCAGTTTTTTTCGTGTACATTCTTTATTGCATTAAAAATTACACTCGTTAGAAAAAAATTTAATATGCAAGGGGTAAAATAAAGTGCAAGTCTGAGGTAGCATTGTTTTCTGGTAAAAATTTTTGTTGTAGGTGTCGCTTATTTTCTCCATATCTATAAAAAATTCTAGCTAAGCCAAACTTGCACTTTATTGTACTAAAATTGAAAGATCTGAAAAAAACTGCATCCCTGATCAAGTTTTTTTTAAGAGTGTAATTAAAAAGTGCAATCTTTTAATTAAAATTTGCAGAATTTTCTTCGAATTTGCACAAGGTTTGAAACTCTGATTTTTGGAGTTTTTTGGGAAAAAATAAACATTAAAAAAAAGTTGCCCGTATTGCAAAAAATTCTCTGTACCGAAACTTTAATGATTGACTGTGCATATGTTTGTATGTATGTATGTTTGTACATGTTGACGACAACAAGCGCTGACTGGGAAAACGAAATGGCCGCGTTTTTGGCCACCATTCTCTGTGCGCGAAGCTTTGCCCCTGGTTGTTGGGCTTGTTCACCGTGCCATGGCAAAGCTTATACCTACACATCATAGTACTAAAAAACATGATTCCCTTTTGACAATCGAAGCCAAGCTATATCAGACACTGCCACATAAACCTCAACAGCATATACTATTTTGAGCGCCTATGTACATCCGATTTTTCGTCGTTATAGCTCCGGACCAGCCTGCCATCAAGCCAGCCAGCTCTTTGTTATGCTCTGTCATGGTTGTTGTGGTACATACTTTTATGTTTATATGTACATATGTATTTATTTATGTTTTCTCATACTTGTTTTCCATGTTCATTTATGTATATGCTGCTGCCGTTGTTATGCTTTGCTGCCTCTCCAAAGTGTACTTGGCAATGTTGCTGGCTACAGCAAGTAACTAAGCAATATGATGCGGCAATATAGCGTTTTTTACGGCACTCCAATGAATTCCTCTTCCATCCAGTTTTGCTCGTTAGTGTTTGTACTCTTCCTTCGGTTTGTATGTATGCATACCGACATGAATGTAACATCCATAAGCACTTTTCTGTGTGCATATTACTTATTATGCTTGGTAGGAGTAGGTAGACGTTCTGGCCGTAATACTGAGTTTCAGTGAATAAGGGAAGTTGTTGAAGAAGTTGTAAAATGTTTAAATGGTGGCAAAATGGAATCGATGCGTGTTAACTCTTGTGCATAAATTGATAGTTAATAAACGGACAGGATTTTCTGGTATCAGCAAGTGGTAAATATTAGTTTATATATCAAGGTTGCAAAACTCGAGCTTTCTATTTCTATGTACATTAGACCGTTTCGAAAAAAAAGTTCAGCCGTACACCCCCTCATATGAAGTATTTTTGTAAAGCATTTAAAAAAATTTTAAATTCATTTTTTTTGGACAACCCTAGTAGTCGCCCAATTACATTTTTCTTCATATCTTCGGCATTTATAGTCGGACTTTAAAGTGCGATACAATGTTTTTGTCTCCTACAGAAGCTTATTGACCTCATGTGCTACATGACCTAGTTACTACCACCATAACGTACCGCCCTAATGACAGTAAATTAAAGACCTTTAAAAATTATTTATTATCTTTTGTGAAAGAAGTGCAGAATTACAAGTGAGGAATTTGCATATGCAACCAAGGGCAGACACGTGATTTTAAAGGTGTTTTTATTTAATAGATTGTGACTATTTAGTTAAAGTTAAAGTAATAGAGAAAGTTACTGCTTTAAGGAGAATAGGAGTGATGAATGTACGCTAATTTCCGAATTTTACACAAAAGGGCATACA